TGACCTACAGTACTATACACTTACATTATGACAATTGGTGTCTTCAGCACTGACCTACAGTACTATACACTTGCATTATGACAATTGGTGTCTTTAGCCCTGACCTACAGTACTATACACTTACATTATGACAATTGGTGTCTTCAGCACTGACCTACAGTACTATACACTTACATTATGACAATTGGAGTCTTCAGCACTGACCTACAGTACTATACACTTACATTATTACAATTGGTGTCTTCAGCCCTGACCTACAGTACTATACACTTACATTATTACAATTGGAGTCTTCAGCACTGACCTACAGTACTATACACTTACATTATGACAATTGGAGTCTTCAGCACTGACCTACAGTACTATACACTTACATTATTACAATTGGTGTATTCAGCACTGACCTACAGTACAATACACTTACATGATGACAATTGGTGTCTTCAGCAGTGACCTACAGTACAGTTTACTTACATGATGACAATTGCTGTCTTCAGCACTGACCTACAGTACTATACACTTACATGATGACAATTGCTGTCTTCAGCCCTGACCTCAAGTACTATACACTTACATGATGACAATTGCTGCCTTCAGCAGTGGCTTCCAGTACAAAATCAGGCAGTCAGACGGCGTTTCTACAGTTTGGGTAACCCATACAGTTACATTATGACAATTGCTGACTTCAGAACTTACCAACAGTACAATACACTTACATGATGACAATTGCTGCCTTCAGCAGTGGCTTCCAGTACAAAATCAGGCAGTCAGACGGCGTTTCTACAGTTTGGGTAACCCATACAGTTACATTATGACAATTGTTGTCTTCAGCCCTGACCTCCAGTACTATGCACTTACATGATGCCAATTGGTGTCTTCAGCAGTGCCCTACAGTACAGTTTACTTACATGATGACAATTGCTGTCTTCAGCAGTGGCTTCCAGTACAAAATAAGGCAGCCAGACGGCGTTTCTACAGTTTGGGTAACCCATACAGTTACATTATGACAATTGTTGTCTTCAGCACTGACCTACGGTACTATACACTTACATTATTACAATTGGTGTATTCAGCACTGACCTACAGTACAATACACTTATATTATGACAATTGGTGTATTCAGCACTGACCTACATTTCTATACACTTTCATTATGACAATTGGTGGCTTCAGCACTGACCTACGGTACTATACACTTACATTGGGAGAATTGGTGTCTTCAGCCCTGACCTCCAGTACTATGCACTTACATGATGCCAATTGGTGTCTTCAGCCCTGACCTACAGCACTATACACTTACATTATTACAATTGGTGTATTCAGCACTGACCTACATTACAATACACTTATATTATGACAATTGGTGTCTTCAGCAGTGACCCACAGTACAGTTTACTTACATGATGACAATTGCTGCCTTCAGCAGTGGCTTCCAGTACAAAATCAGGCAGCCCGACGGCGTTTCTACAGTTTGGGTAACCCATACAGTTACATTATGACAATTGTTGTCTTCAGCAGTGACCCACAGTACAGTTTACTTACATTATGACAATTGCTGTCTTCAGCAGTGGCTTCCAGTACAAAATCAGGCAGCCAGACGGCGTTTCTACAGTTTGGGTAACCCATACAGCCAATGTAGAAGCTATAAAACACATCAATACTAGTCAACATGCCAAATCAAATTTCAGTACTTGGTAACAAAGGTATGCATTTTAAATACAAAGAGAAAATAGCATCAAAGTCTCAACAAAATAGTTATCACATTATCAGAACTTGTTGTCAGAATGAACTGAATACCTTAGATATTTGACATTTACAAAGGTTTAAATTTAAACTTCTTTAACTTCAAATTAGACATCAGAACTTAAATCTCCGATACCCATGGGTGCTCCTTATAAGAGGCTCATAAGGGTGTATTGTTAGACTTGTACTGAGTTCTAGCTTATATGTGATACACACAATAAATGATGAAGGTATATTTGAAAACTGTAGGATTGTTGCGATTTAAATTAATTTTGTTTTCATATAGTAAGACCTTGGCATAACTGTGAAAGTATGTATAGGTCATTAGTTTGAAGTATGAAAGCATTGATCTCTTGATCCAAATGAGGTAAAAGGCACATGAAGTGTCTCCTCTATACATGGGTGTCATGTCATAGTATCAAGATAAGTGTAAATTTTACGCAAAAATTCTCTTCAGCCTTTTAAGTCACCACATTTGAGAAAAGGTGTCTGTATCAGGTGTGGGGACAATTTATTTTTACCCTGAAGAGTAAGAAGTACATACTAGTATCTTGCACACCTTTATACATATTGGGAATTATTACTCACCCTTTTCCGTCTTTCTTTGATTTCAACATCATATCCTGACCACAGTTGGGACATTTCTTTATGGGTGAAGAGGCTAATGTTTCTAAAGCTGAAACCAAGCATTGTATAGCAAGACCATTAGAACAGGAACCATGCTATGGAATGTGTTATATGCCTATAGTTTACTGCATTGATAAACAAAATATCTTATTCAAAACAGTCTGATTTAATTAGTCATTGACATACTGTATACAGGGAAATTTCAGGTGCAGCTTTTTTCAACCTGAAATAATCACGGATTTTATCGGTGAAAGTCAGAAGTTTGACTGGGCGAGTTTCCCTGCATACAGTAACTGTTAGGTATGTATAATATGATATTGCTTATGACAGAGAACGTATCCTATTTATAAACCCACCATGTTCAGCAGGCATAGGCTGGGCCTCTCCCAGATACTTGGCCAGTGCTTCATCAATCTTCAACGCCTACAGACAAAAACAGTCTACAGATAAAATACAAATTTTATACTTGGATAATACTGTACTTCATTTATCACCTGGCTTTACAGACAAAACTTTTAAACAGAAATTTTGTCTAATTCCTCAACAATCTTCAGAGCATACAGAAATATTTACTGACACAATATTCATACAACACTGTCAACTTTCAGATTATACTGAGGAAAACACTGATGTCTTATGTGTTGATAAATATACAGAATGTCCATAAGCCATACACACGGAAAACATTTTTTTTTGATAACAAGCCACATGGTCCCTTTTATATGACACATGAACAGTGGTACAATGTGTACCTCTTAATTTTCTGATGATGTTGTTATACTTCTTCAAAAGATAAAGAACAATGCCTTGATCCTTTCAAAATGTTATGGAATATCACAAAAACCAAAACCTACCTGTCGACAAGCTTCAATGAACACTTGTTTGTATTTCTGTTTCTGCTCTTCTAATACAACTGCAAATAAACAGAAAATAGCAATGATGAAATAGAATTTCTGTACAGCTGTTGATGAAGTTAATTTATTAGCAAACAATCACAAAAAAAAAATCAACTGAAAGCCACTTTATCAGGATTCCAGGTAAGAAAATTATATGGTACCTGCAAAATTTCTTTTTTCGTGTATTAAAAACAATGTTAAATTAATTTTTTTACAGGTTTTTTTTTATACTGCACCAGGAAAATTGTAAAAGACCTCTTACTTTCACAATCCAAAAGTTTTAAACATTTCACAATCCAAATCAATACTATTGATTACATTTTAACATAAAATATGCACCTTACCATTTTTATCTTTAGTGCCAGAACAAATCCTATGATAAAATAAAAAAGTTGTATCAAACATTTAAACAGGTAATTTATTCATAGAATCTTTCAGCTGCCTCATTAAAATGTATATGGTGATATATAATGTCTGTAGGCCTTGAAGTCTAATGAAGTGTTGTCAAGTATATGTATACAACATGTACTAATATTCAAAGGATGGAAAGCATGAACTTAGCCTTGGTGTCCTTCTTTGCCCCATGATGGGCAATGTACAAAATTTTATCCTATTAATTATGACAATGTTTTTGAGTTATTTTGTTATTGCTCTATGTTCCATCAATAACTAGGTTCATTTAAGGACAAGCCAGGTTTGGTGGTGGAGGAAAACCGGAGTACCCAGAGAAACACCACCGAGCTGTGACCAGTACCTGGCCACTACCCCACATAGGCCTCAAACCCGCGACCCAGTGGTGGAGGACTAGCAATCATAAACGGTCACTGCAGTCCCCCCCAATGTTTTTGATATTACAAAATGTCTCTACCTTGATAAATCTGCCTCTAATTCAGCTCGGAGATTTGGTTTGGACATTTCGTATCCCATAGCATCATAACCTAGAAAAGATTCACAAAATGTATGAGATAAAATCAAACACTAGTCTGATTTCTTTGTAGCTAAGTTAGCAGCTCAACAATTACATCATTTTATAACAATAATCTACACTATTATAAACAGATACTTACCCTCCACTAACAATAATCTACACTATTATAAACAGATACTTACCCTCCACAAGTCCCATTCCAAGATGACCAGGGATGAATCTGTTATCTCCCTGTAGTCCAACATACATGCGACTTTTGATGGTCTCTATATGATCAGCGTGAGTAGCGTCTGTTCCTGTTAGTTTTAAATCACAGATTCAGACTTACCATATTGTTATTGATTAATAAGTTTTTTAAATTTCATATATTGATGAGTTTTGTGTGATTGAAAATATGCTTTTAAGACTGTGAAAACTTGTTATTTGTTGGATAAATTTAAATGAAGGTCTATTATCATGAGATAAACCAGGCAAGCTAGTATCAAACAGTGCTTTATCTGTGGCCTTCAAAGTTTGTTATCAAGTCAAACTTATTTAAACTTTAATACCAAGCTTACACTACAGGCTAATTTTTTATGGAAAAAATTCAACTTGATTTAATTTTTTGATTTTTTAAAAAGTTGTCCCAGGTCATTTATTTGGAGCAACAAATTTAATATCTAAGCAAGAGACAGGCTTAATATCACTTCTCTAGGCCAAGAGGACCTTAAAATAAAGCTTCTGCTGTTTCTTATGTCTGATCCATGTGACAAAGATAGCAAGTCAGAATCATTTATTCAAACAAACTTGATAGTCTAAAACCTCATGTAAGTTTAGAAGTTGTTATCTCATAACGCTGTGACCTTGAATATGGGTCAAGGTCATTACATTTTCATGAAGTTTGTAGCACTTCATGCCGCCATACAGGCAAAAGGCCCTCAGGTTCGAAAGTTGAAGTTGTTTGAGTTTTTTTAACAAGTTAGACCCTTTTAACCTTGAATATGGGTCAAAAATATTTTGATCACGACGCAACAATAAATTTCAGCAAGCTACTTGCCAAATATCATGACTTTAGGCCATTTAGTTGCGAAGAAAATGTTTAAAAGAACAAGATGTCAAATGGGCCTGTAAACATTCATTTTGTTTATGTGGCCTTTCTTTTCACGAACTTCCCATCACAACCTACATTCAGCAAGGAATAGCTAATTATAGACACGAGGTATTTCGTACTTAAGTCTTTGTAGTATTTTCACAAATTTGACCCATATGGCCTAAAAAGTGGGTCAACATCATCATTTAAACAAACTTGATAGGCCTTCATCCCTGCATACCAATGACCAAATGTCATCATCCTAGGTCTCTTGGTGATTCAGAAGAAGCCATTTAAAAGTTTTAACAAATTTGATTCCTATGATCTTGAAAGTAGGTAAAGTTCATTCGTCATTTACTTAATAAGCAAACTTGGAAGCCCTTCATCCTAGCATGCTACTGATTAGATATACCACTCTACTAGACCTACTCTTTAGTCAGGAGTCGTCTAAAGTAACAAGAGATCCAATAATATATAAAAGACCTACCAATGCCATGTTTGTCCATCAAAGCAATCAAATCAGCCTCTGAGAGTAAAGATGGAGGGCTTGTTTCTGATTCAGTCATCTGCAGAAATAAAAAGTACTGGTAAATTCACCCGAATCAAATTGTTTCTCTGGAAAAAACATAAATGTAAATTAAGTAATGTGTCTCTTAAATTCAAATATTAGGTTTGGTTTTTGCTTAAAACACTTACCAGATCTGGTTAACAACTAGTATACTACAATTTAACAAACATGGAATACAAAAGTGACAAGATGTTTGCCAAATTTATCTCCCCTTATGAAGGACATGTAGCTATAAATTTAGTCTATTATTGAGGTTTGGTGTAGCTGTGCTGTTCAAAAGGAGGGAGATAGAATTGGATACTTAAAACATAGCCATAGGCGTTATATGATCCCATAGCAGAGTTATTGCATGGAACCCAATAAAGGAATTATAAGTTAGTATCCTCATTAACTCATTCACCCTTACATATTTAAACTGTAACGTAAGGTTCAAATGTGGCTTTAGGGGTGAATGGGTTAAAATATTGTCTAAAATTTGCAAAAATACAAATTTTGTTGAAATTAAACCACTTAGTTACAACAAGGAAACCAGGTGTAAGAGAAGGACCGGCTCAAGGTAACATACCCTGTTTTCCTGAAAGCGAAGAATATTCCATTTTATATCATCATTGATTCCAAACAATATTTTAAGCAAGTGAATGAATTTCTATAAAGTACAATTTGACACTACCTCTATGGAGTTAGGCTGGAAAGTATCTCCTTGGCTGTACACTGGAATCACCTACAACCGATACAGTTATATAATGTATACATTACAACAGACACTGATGACACAATGCTGTATATGGTACCAGTATCACCTATTTGTTGACACATTGCTGTGTAAAAATATGGATGACACCTGTTTCTTGTCAGATTGCTCAATCACAGTTCACCATTATTTTCTTGATAATTTTTAAGATACATCAATTGCCAAAACAAATATTAGCAAATATCTCCACATAGAGGCCATCTTTATTTGCTGCAGTTCTTTTTAGCCAACTCAAATCAACACAAACACTTCAACTGAAGCACACCCTGAGATAAGCTTTTAGTGGCAGAAAAAAGATTGAGAATATATGTAACTTGGACCATTATAATTACATAAGTTACGATATTATCCATTATACCTTGGCATTCCAGCGGTCATAAGGATACACATCTAGGTAATTCCTGGCAGTAATCATTAGGCCCTGAGCTGAAAACTACATAACACCAGCCATTACATATCTATTAACTGGTCATTACATATCAATTAACTGGTCATTACATATCCATGAACTGGTCATTACATATCCATTAACCCGTTATTACACATCCATTAACCAGTCATTACATAACCATTAACTATTAAGCTGTCATATATCCATTAAGTGGTCATTACATATCCATAAACTGGTCATTATATATCCATTAACCCATTATTACATATCAATTAACTGGTCATTACATATCCATTAACTATTAAGCTGTTACATATCCATTAACTAGTCATTACATATCCATAAACTGGGCCCAGTTGTTCAAAAGGTGATGAGCTTAATCAGTGATTAGCGCACATTTTAATTTTTGTGTATCTTTAAAACATTTAAAACCATTACACATCTATTAACCAGTCATTACATATCAATTAACTGGTCATTACACATATATTAACCAGTCATTACATATAAATAAACTGGTCATTACATATCAATTAACTGGTCATTACATATAAATAAACTGGTCATTACATATCAATTAACTGGTCATTACATATCAATTAACTGGTCATTACATATAAATAAACTGGTCATTACATATCAATTAACTGGTCATTACATATAAATAAACTGGTCATTACATATCAATTAACTGGTCAATACGTAGCCATAAACCAGATATTACATATCTATAAACTGGCCTTTATATTAATTTAAATAATGTTTTGTAATTGGAACTTTTGGTCATGAATACATAGTTTATGTATAGTGCAATCTCGATTTATATTGTATGTATTTAAAATCTATCTATCAATATAGACATTGACACAAAATCATGTTATTATCCACAAAGCTTCAAAAATGTGGGAGTAAAATTAACTTATCTTTACCTTCTCCTCTGCAATGTCTATTTCCACAATGGTTTCCTGACCCTGTGCATCACTGGAGCAGGTTGCTAGGAAATGTCTCACAACAAAATCGTAAATTCTTTTTTCATTGCCCTGGTGGAAAAAAAATGCTCTTGTCAAACTGAAATCCTTGTAGATTATGAATCACTTAATACTTCAAGAATTGATTGATTTCAAACCTGTACTCAAATGATGTATTTGCGAGGATTAGAAATGGCATAAAGAAGCAATAATATTTATGTAAATATGATGAAAAGGTGTCTAAATAACTGGTTACGTATATTAGTACCTGGTAGGATGTATGGGGTGACAGGCTGTAGACTGTCAAGATGTTTTACCTGTAGGTTGTTACAATACTTGGTAGGATGTATGGGGGGATGGGCCTGATCTGTCTTATTGCCATTCCGTGGCCTTGGCCCTTGCTCTAACACTCTCCCTGCAAACTCTGCCAGAAAAGAATTGATGGTATAGCATTGAAGTAAATCACATATTTTTTTTTCTTGAAGTATGATGTTTTTGATGTCGTACTTTGAAATGCTTACCTCCATGTGCCGTCATTTTATTGAAGTTAAGGACTGCTTTACTAGTCAATTCATTCGGCATGTATGTCTATTTTATATGTACAGTCAAAACTTTATCTTTAATATTAAAAGGTCTTGAATAAACTCTTTCACTTGACCTGGTTTATTTTCTTGTTCCTTACTCTTTATTGAATAGCACACTTATTTATTATAAATTACTTAAGAAGGCAATAAGATACAGCATATTTACCTCCCCATTCGTCATCAACGGTCTGTTGTTCCACTAGTCTCCTAAGATCAAAGTCTGGTGGGAATTTGTTGGTCTCTGTTCGAGGGTAGCTAATGTTCCCTCCAGTGTACAATTTTTCAGCTATTTTCATTGTTTCCTTAGCATTTATTCGTAATTTTCTAGAAGCAAGCTTTTCCAATTCCTAAAAATAAAAAAAGTTTAATCTTCTTATGGAAAAGAATACCAATTTGAATGAAATTATTTGAAACTAGAAAACATCTGTAAAGACATGAATGCTCCCTCGCCCCTGAGGTCAGTAAACTGATGACAACAAATCTGGTGACAAAATAGCAATAGTAGACCTATAAATAGCAGCAGTGATCTTGGTGTTGTTATTGGCACCCAGTAATACGATCACATTTGAGGCATTCTTATACTAGAACTGTAGAAAGTCTATAGTGCCATGACTATGAATTGGAAGGGACAGAATGAAATGTGACAAAAGCAAATATTTTATATCATGCTCAACTAAATAAGATTTTAAAGGTCAGAGTATCTAACAATTGCAGCCTCTTTAGAAAAAGGTTAGTTGTAGGTAGCTCTGGGTCTACATACCACAGTATAACCCTCTGGGCATAAGTAACTAAGTATTCCCCATGAGGCCTACATACCACAGTATCCCCCACTGGGCCTACGTACCACAGTATCCCCCACTGGGCCTACATACCACAGTATAACCCTCTGGGCATAAGTAAATAAGTATTCCCCACGGGGCCTACGTACCACAGTATCCCCCACTGGGCCTACATACCACAGTATCCCTCA